CAGAGGGGCACTCAGAGAGGCAACCATCCTGCTTCCGGTGGTGACAGGGATGGGGTGAAGGGAAGCTGAGAACCGAGGATTGGTGCTGCTTCTGCTGAAGGTGTTGGTGGTAGCGGCTTGTGCGGAAAATGTGGGACGGAAGCTTTCGAGCCTTGAAATGTTGAAGAGGGAGTATTCTTTCCAGCTTCGTTTTCTTCCCAAGGGGCTGCTTCCTGGGGGTGATGGGGGGAGTGATGGTGCTGCTGATGCTGGTGCTGCTGATGCTGGTGCTGCTGATGGTGCCGCTGCTGCTGGTGCTGCTGATGCTACTGATGCGGCTGCTGCTGAAGCGGCTGCTGCTGATGGTGCTGCGTCTGATGGTGCTGCTACTAATCGGCCGGTTGGCGAGACAGCTGGGGGTGGTAGTGGCGCCGACGCGGGCCGGGATAAAGGACATGGCAACCGCCCTGGTGCTGCTGGTGCTACTTGTGGTCCTCCTACTAAACGCCCGGTGGGTGACACAGCTACTGGAGGTAACGGCGCTGACTCTTGCCGGGATAAAGGATATGCTGACCGCCCTGATGCTGCTGACGGTGCTGATGGTGCTGCTGCTGGCGCTGCTACTGCTGCTGCTGCTGCTGCTGCTGCTGCTGCTGCTGCTGCTAGTGCTGATGGTCGTGCTAGTGGTGCTGCGACTGACGCTGCTGCCAGTGCTGATGGTGCTGCAGCTAATGGCCTGGTGGGTGAGACAGCCGCCGGTGGGAGCAGGGCTGACATGGGCCGGGGGGACACAGGGCACAAAGAGCGCCCCGCCGCTGCTGGGGGAACAGCTGCCCAGGGAGCTGCAGCAAAAGAGTGCGTAGGAATAACAAGTGATGTCGATGGTGCTAGTGAGTAGGTAGCTTGGGGAATTTCAATGGCTTGGGTAACTTCTGTGGCTCGGGTAGCTTGAATAGCTTGGGAATTAGATGGAAAGGAGGCTGGGTTTGTGAAAATCTGATCAGCCTGAAATGCTGGCTCCTGGAAGGTGGGTCCCTGGAAGCTGAAAGCAGTTGGAGGCTCGTTCAGGTCCACCATCATGGTGGCACCTCTAGTACCGGTACCTGAGGGACCACCTGACGGTATATCTGAAAAACCACCTGAAGGTCCAGCTGATGAACCACTTAGAGGTTCACCTGAGGGATTGCCGGAGATTCCACCTGGAGGGCCACCTGAGGGACAGCCTGGGACATTACCTGATGGATGAACTGAGGAAAAACCTGGGGGCCCACCTGAGGGTGCACCTGAGAGACCATTTGAAGGACCGCCTGTGGGATAACCTGGCGGCCCACCTGAGGTTCCAGCTACAGGAATACCTGCTGGCCGACCTGAAAAACCACCTGAACCTCTACCTGAAGGTCCACCTGACACTCTACCTGAAACCCTTCCCAACTCCCCCACAGCAGCAGCAACAGTCTCCCAACTAGATCCCGACTGCCCAGGAGGCGATCCCCAATAAAAGATTGGCTGTCTTGTTGAAGGCTCGGCGGTTACCAGGTTACCACTGCTGTTGCCGGAAGTGTCAAGAGCTGCTCCTGGGGTTGGCTCCTGCAGTGTTGACTGCTTGACGTACAACATGTTACGACTGCTGCCGCCAGAACCGCCGAGTGCCGCTGCTGCTGGTGGAATCTCTGGTGTTGATAACCCAGCAGGTAGCATGCTTACACTGCTGTTTCCAAAACTGCCAAGTGCTGTTCCCGAGGGTTGAGTCTGTCGTCGTGCTTGCCACTGGTCAGTGCGTATTTGCTGGTTCTGACGACTGTTCATGCCTGGAGTGGAATTACCTGCTTCCAAGGGACTTGGCGATATTACAGTAGCACTCGGAGTGAGGGGTTTTGTGTCAGGGCTTGGAAAAAGGGAACTGTAGAGGGTTGAAGGTTGATGCTGCTGTGATAGGCGCTGCTGCTGCTGCGGTGACTGATGCTGTGTCTGAAGCGGCGTGGGGCTGGGGATGATAGAGCAGAAGGACGCCATGAGACGAAGCGACTCCGCCTGCGCTTCAGAAAACGCAGCAACTGCCGCTGCGGCCGCTGCTCGGTCATCATCAGCTGAATCCACCACAGCATCAAGATTGATAGCTGGTCTGAGTCCACTAGAACCAGCCATAGCAGCAGTCAAAGACCGACCTGAGACAGACCCTGTTGCTCCTGCTGCAGTGGCAGCTGCTCGGTCATCATCAGCTGAATCCACCACAGCATCAAGATTGATAGCTGGTCTGAGGCCACTGGAACCAGCCATAGCAGCCTGCTGAGCAGACAAAGATCGAACTGAAACATTCATAACAGACCCTGTTGCTTCTGCTGCTGTTGCCATATACCTCGATGATTCTCCCAAACCAGCAACGTTAAGAGCCGATCGAGTAAGACCACCTGTTAAGCCCACAGTGGTAGCAAATGTAAGGGGTGTTGTTGCTGCTTGTGCTGCAGCTGGTGCTGCTGCTGCTCTTTCTGCTACTTCTGCTGCTGCTGCTGCTGCTGCTGCTGCTGCTGCTGCTGCTGCTGCTGTCGCTGCTGCGGTCGGCGAATCGTGTGGCGATACGGCCGTTCTGGGAGCAGACGATGACATGATGGCGTGCAGCGCAAAACCATCAAGTTGATGACGACGTTTATCAGCAGCAATCTCAGGCTGGCTCTCTCTCACATGCTCTTCGCTGAGACGACTCCGGAACTGGAACCCGGATCCGGAAGATGATTTGAAACCGAGCTTCAAGAAGCCTGAAGGGACGTCATGAGAAGGTAGTAGTAGTAGCCTGGACGCCTCAGGATGGCTTATACTGAGAGTCGGATTCTCGATCTCCTGGGCAGCTCCCCCGAGCTGGAGTCCGACTCCAGAATCATCAGAATCATCATCACCTTGCTTCTCTGAGTCACCTCTGTCAAGATTGGTTTTTCCAGCTGATGCGCTCATGCTGCTGTAAGATACTGCTGTAAGAATGGCAGTTTCTTCTTCGGAAATGGAGACTGAAAGCGGCTTGAAGACCTCTATTGCCCTGGAGAGTTCAAGCTTCTTAGTAAGAAGATGAAGAAAAAAAGGATGTGAAGAAAATCAGAAACACCCAGTCGGTCACGGAAACTTTTCAGTCTTTTGCGTAACTCTCATGAGTAGCTCCTGTGCATCACAGTTCCGGACAACTACTGTATTAGACTGAATTCTGAGACCAGTCTTCCCTGAGCCTTTTTATCAGCAACAGCAGCACCCACCAGATGCTTGCGGCGCGTTGCATTTACTAAATTACGGCATCTTTATTTTTTTTCAAGTATAAGCATCTCCCGCTGTGCATCATTTGAGACCTGACTAGGAAATCACATTCTCGGCGCAGATCCATTTCCGGGGTAGTGCGAGTCCACCGCCGGTCCCAAGACAGCACCGACCCGGTCGGTCATCCCTTGTGCGTGACGTGACGTCGCTCATGCGTGAAGCGGCAAGATGGAAACCCGGAAGAAAGGGGGTGATGTCATTTGCTGGTTGACTGCATACAGCCTCACTTTGACGGTGATAGACTTTTCCGAATAGCCAGAGAGGATTCACATGCGGGACAGCTATATTGAGATGCAAAATGCAAGTCAGTGACGTCGATGGTGAACGGATCTGCCTGTGTCACAGAGTACTATCACGCTGACAGATCATAAACTTAGCCGTTATGCCAAGGTATTAGGAGGGCTAAGGCTTGTTTCGTCCAGTATTGGATTCGCTAGCTGTAACCTCATCATCGCTAGAAGAATTCTCAGTTGCATCAACGTTGACTCGCTAAATACACCGCTTAACTCAGGCCAGCGCCACCTTATTGTTGTGCTTTTCCTGCTGGCTGGTCTGAGGAACTGAATTGGGAAATTGAATCTCGGCCTCCTCCACTGGATGCCAGCTCTTGCCATGAGCTCTAAGCTCATGCAAAGCTCATAACCAAGCTTTTGTTGTGAGTGAGGTGTGAAAAATACAGGTTGTGGAAATGTCATATTTCAAGATTTCGTAATACAGGTAGCACAAGTCATGACTCATGAGAGCATGTGACAGAGCGGGATGTGAGGAGAAAAGGGGACGGGGAAAGCGAAACGAACTGGAACAAAAGTTGTTTGAACTAGTCCTGAAGTTCATTTTTTTTTGGAATCTGGGTTGCTCGGGACGGGAATTGGGGGCAGATGGAATGGGAGTGGCTCAGTAATGCAAGTTGCCATTCTGTACTGTACGCAATTGCGTCTGGAGAACTCGGGAAATGGCTCAGAAACCCCCGTATTTATTGTCTGTTTTGGAATCCACTTCAAGTGGGTAGAGCTGTGGCCTAGAAATACCCAAAAAAATCAGTTAAACGTCGGATGGTTACCTTCATATCATGACCCGACTGAACTCCTTCCAGTATCTGCGGGGATTTGAAGCCCTTTTATTGCCCAGCTCTGAAAAATAGAAGGAAATTGGGGGACGTCTCACGTGATGCCAGATGGGCCATCCCCACCCAGCCACGTTTCAATGACGTCCAATTCTGACGTGTGGTGTCTGTTGGGTGAGGGACAGCAGAGCAGTCAAGCTGGCAGGAGGAGGGAATCCGCCAACCACAGGCCTAGGGAATGCTAAAAGATTTCGCGTGCAGTGCATCCAGTCCCGCAGAGTCTTGCCGCTTACACACTGTATATTGTACTGTACTACCCCCAAGAAAACGAGAATATTCTAGGGAATGAACCTACCGTAAGCGCCGAAGTGCAATCTTGACATTTTCTACCCTTTCAGTCAGTGTTTCCGCTCTGAGAGAGAAAAGGAGCTACAAGTTGAGACTAAAATCAGAAACATTCTCTACAATGTGGGCATTGAAAAAATAATCAGGTGGGTCTTTCGGTCGTACTTCCGTGGCGTCAGGCCTACGAGTTGGAGCCTGCAGATTCCCACTTGTGTATGGGCGGCAATATTAAAGCCCAAGACCTGAATTACAAACTAAAAAAGGCAAACTCTGCACAGTTTGCCTTCCGAGCCCAAAGTTGACCTCCCGAGCCAGGATGGTTACCAGACAGGCGTCGCATCCCATAAGGACTGCGTCGTATATCAGAACGCGTCTACTTGGCGACAGTCCCAACCACCCTTTGCCCAAGGAAGAAGGGAACTGCCTGTGCACAGTTTGCTTGAAAATGGTAATTCAGGAAAGGCTGTGCAGCTACTACTCGAGACTCTAAGCTTTTGCCCGTAGCAAATTCCTACCTTCAACCCCGTTGCTCCGCGAGAGTTGTTATTGCGACGGCCCAAGCGTGAAAGGCTTGAAGCGCATATTACGAGACATTGCTCCTTTCCGTCTCAAAATGTGAACCTTGCTATCCCCTCACATCGTCCTCCCCCTCCACACACCGTCAGCCTCGCTTCCCCTGTGGTCCCCGTTGCCATTGCCCTCCCATCGCCTTTACCCCTATCCCCTCCCATCGCTTCCTCGTGGTCGTCGCCGTGCCCCCTGGCATTGCTTCGCGAACCACTCCGCCACCACCCACTTTCGACGTAGTCGTGTCTCCACCACTCTATCCTGACACGTTTTCTCACTCGGAAAGCCCGTGCACACCCCCACGGGTCTCCTCCCTGCGCGCGCTCCTTTCTGGTAAGCCCGCGCGGCATCCTCTCGCCACCCCGCGCGCACTCTTCTCGCCTCCCCGCGCGCGCTTTTCTTGCCTCCCCGCGCGGCCTCCTCTCACCATCCCGCGCGTGCTCTTCTCGCCTCCCCTCGCGTGCTCCTCTCGCCTTCATAGCGCGCGGATCTCTTGCCTCCCCGCGCGGCCTCCTCTCACCTCGTCGCGCGTCCTCCTCTCGCCTGCCCCACGCGTGCTTCTCTCGCCTCCCCGCGCGTGCTACTCTCGCCTCCCCTCGCGTGCTCCTCGACCCCCCCCGCGCGCGCGGCTCTTGCCTCCCCGCGCATCCTCCTCTCGCCTCACCTTGCGTGCTCCACTCGCCTCCCCGCGTGTGCTCCTCTCTCCTCATCTTTCGGCGTGGCCGCACCACCGCGCGCGTGCGCCTCTCTCCATGCCTTGCGTAATCTATCGCCTCCCCGCGCGTGCTCTTCTCTCCTCACGTTGCTTGCTTCTCTCGCCTTCCCATGCGTGCTCCTCTCTCCTCACCCTGCGTGCTCCTCTCGCCTCCCCGCGCGTGCTCTTCTCTCCTCACCTTGCGTGCTCCTCTCGCCTCCCTGCGCGTGCTCCTCACCCTCTCCCCCTATCCATCCTGAAACGTCATCGTGCCTCATTGCGAAGGTTGCGTTCACCACTCCCCGACCACTCACTTTCGACGTATGCGTGTCCCCACCACTCCCCACTATCCTGACAGGGGCCCCGACGTTTCCTCACTCGGGAAGCCCGTGCACACGCCCACGTTTCTCCTCCCTGCGCGCCCTCCTTTCTCGTAAGCCCGCGCGCCATCCTCTCGCCTCCCGCGTGTGCTCTTCTCGCCTCCTGCGCGGCATCCTATCGCCGCCCCGCGCGCGCTCTTCTTGCCTCCCCGCGCGTCCTCCATTCCCCTTGCGTGCTCCTCTCTCCTCACCTTGCGAAGCTCCTCTCTCCTCACCTTGCGTGCTCCTCTCGCCTCACCTTGCGTGCTCCTCTCTCCTCCCCTTGCGTCCTCCTCTATCCTCACCTTGCGTGCTCCTTGCGGAGATTCACTCTACAACGGTAGTGAGCTAGACAACAGGGGTTGGCACGAACTACTAGAGGTGATCGTAGCTTTGCTTGGTTCATTAGTGTTTGCACATTCACGGGAGAAATTGGCAAGAGTTTCTACTAGCAAAGTTGGAATTCGAGAATTAGTCCAACAAGAGATGGCAACAATGACTACATCAGGCACCTAGCAACCCTGCTGCTAGCCTGGTCGACCGCCAGCACAGCTCGGTCGACCGCCTGCCAGCGTTGCGTAGAGGAGCCGCGCCAGCACTGCAGAAAGGCGACCTGCCAACGGAGCAGGTCGACGGCGTGCCAACGCTGCAGCAGAGCGGTTGTCCAGCGTTGCCCCGTAGAACACAGCAGTGTGCACGCTCGCAGGTGTGCGCAGACGATTGGCCCGACTTGCCTCGTTGGGCATTCGTCGGCTGTTGTCTGCGCCTGACGAGCCATATCGACTCCGGGATACCAGCCCGTAGTCGCCTGCGCCATCGCAACCTCGACGACGTTCGCGTGCCTCCGCAGAACTCGTCGAGCAGGTTACCTAGTCGACCCGGTCGACCACCAGGTGCTTCCGGTCGACCAACAGGTCCCTCTGGTCGACCACAACTCCTGTCGAGCTACCCCCTGGTCGACGGACCCCTTCCGTCGACCAGAGCCATCAGCGGTTGTCGCCGAGCTCCCCTCGTCGACCGCTGCTCACTTGTCAGGTCGACGGACTGCTCCGTCGACCTCCCGGTCGAACTGCAGGTCCTGGTCGACGTCCCACCCATCGCCCAGACCAGTCAGTTGCAGCTGTCGAGCTCCCTAGTCGACAGCAACACCACAGCGGTCCCCTGCAGCTCGACGAAGCCTGTCGAGCAGCTCTTGTCAGAATGTAATGCTCTAGCCTGTAGTGGGTGCTCTATAGCGAGTACAACCCTTCTAGGGTTTGCTATTTGTATCCTCATTTCTGCTGGTGAACATCCTCTCTTCGCCTAAACTGTTTCTTGCCTAGCTAGGGCTTTCCTAGCTATGGCGCCTTCTTCTACACCTTATTTTCACATGGTAGCAGAGCGATATGCTCCTGGCCTGTGGGCCCCACCTCACTGCTTCCGCTGCTACTGCTACTCCCTGTCCGCCGCGCGCCCCGTGGTGCGCGGCGTCGAAATTAGGGTTTTCAGCCCGCCGTGCGCCCCGAGGCGCACGGCGGTTTTCTGCCCGCCGTGCGCCCCGAGGCGCGCGGCGGTTTTCTGCCCGCCGTGCGCCCCGAGGCGCGCGACGGGTTTCTGCCCCGTCACTCGGCGCGTCGCCCCCAGGAGGCGCTGCGACGGGCGACGGGGACCCGCGCGTCGCCCCCCGTCACCCGTCGTGGCCTGCGCGCGGCCCGTACAGGCTGCACGCGGCCCGTACGGGCTGCGCCAGGCCCGGACACGGCCCGTACGGGCTGCGCCAGGCCCGCGCGCGGCTCGGGCCGCCTGCGCGCGGTTCGGGCGGCTGTGCCAGGCCCGTGGGCAGCCCGTTCTTCACTGCCCCTGCACTGACCGCTGTCCCCCGTGCCTCTGATGGCGCCCCACCCCTGCTACTACTTGTGCTCCTGCATTAGGGTTTGGGGGTGGAGCGTGTGGGGTATGGGGGTGCAGTTTCTCAGCGGCGTCCCCTGCTCCTCCTCCTCCTCCGTCTCCCGCTACTGCAGCTGCCGCTCAGGGGGGTGGGTGTGTGGGAGCCGAAGGAGTGGTACTAAGGGGGGTGAAGGGGGAGTGGAGCTAGGGGTGAAGCAGGGGGTGTGTGTCATGTCAGACTTATATGACATAGTTGCTGTAGGCTATAGTGGGGTAGCACATATGGGGTACAGGGTTTCTAGGGTTGTATTTGTACCCAATCTTTCCTTAGTCATTTCATTCCTGCTTACTCATTTCACATGGTATAGAGCGGGTTCCCTGTGGAACTCTGCCTAGGGCCCACCGAAGCGCGCCCCGAGGCGCGCTCAACTTTTTTTTCCGCTCTCGAGCGACCCTCCGTGTCGCCTCCCTCCCACACGCGGCCCAGCCGCCCGCTAAGTCGCGGCCCCAGCCGCCCGCTACGATCGCGGCCCCAGCCGCCTGCTCGATGCGGCCCCCCCAGCCGCCTGCTCGACGCGGCCCCCCAGCCGCCTGCTCGACGCGGCCCTGCCGCCCGCTACGCCGCGGCCGCCGCCCACTACGATCGCGGCCCCGGCCGCCTGCTACGACCGCGGCCCCAGCCGCCTGTTCGACCGCGGCCCCGCCGCCCGCTCCTGTCGCGGCCCCGGCTGCCTGCTCGCACGGCCTCGCCGCCTGCTACTACCGCGGCCCCGGCCGCCTGCTCGACCGCGGCCCCCCAGCCGCCTGTTCGACCGCGGCCCCGCTGCCCGCTACTGTCGCGGCCCCGGCCGCCTGCTAGCGCGGCCTCGCCGCCCTCTACTACCGCGGCCCCGGCCGCCTGCTTGCACGGCCCCGCCGCCTGCTACGACCGCGGCGCCAGCCGCCTGTTCGACCGCGGCCCCGCCGCCTACTACCGTAGCGGCCCCGGCCGTCTTCTCGCGCGGCCCCGCCGCCCACCTACTACCGCGGCCCCAGCCGCCTGCTCGCACGGCCCCGCCGCCTGCTACGACCGCGGCCTCCCAGCCCACTAGGCTGCGGCCGCCGCCTGCTCAACCGCGGCTTCGCCGCCCACTACGCATCGGCCCCGCCGTCCACCTGTAGCGACTATGCGGGCGGACCTCTGAGCAGCTGTGCCGCCGAGCCGCCCGGGAGCCGAGCCGCCCTGCAGCCGAGCCGCCCGGGAGCCGAGCCGCCCTGCACCCGAGCCGCCCTGTCGCCGAGCCGCCCGGGAGCCGAGCCGCCCTGCCCCCGAGCTGCCCTGCCGCCGAGCCGCCCGGGAGCCGAGCCGCTGTGCACCCGAGCCGCCCGGTCGCCGAGCTGCCTTTCTGTCGAGCTACGCGACCTGCCCTGCCTGGTGAGCACAGTCCCACTGTCACTGCGTGCTCTCCCCCCTACTACTTGCACTGCTTCACAGTCGTCGCCATGGCTACCCCTAGTGTCCTAGCTTTTGACGCTGAGGGTCGCGCCATTGATTTTGAGGTCTGGCTTGACGACCTGCAGCTGTTCTTACAGTGCGACAGAGCTGACGACCTTTCTCTCTTTGACCTCACCTCTGGCGCCTCTCCTGCTCCTGCTACTGATGCTGATCCCGCTGTCCGCTCTAAGTGGGCCACCCGCGATGCTGCTGCACGTCTTGCTGTGCGTCGCCACCTCCCTACCTCTGAGCGTGCGCACTTCAGTCAGTACAAGAGTGCTCAGACCTTGTACGACGCTGTAGTTGCGCGCTACTCCTCCCCTGCCACTGCTGCACTGAGCCGTCTCATGCTTCCCTACCTCTTTCCTGACCTCTCTGCCTTTCCCACTGTCGCTGACCTCATTACCCATCTCCGCACTAGTGACACTCGCTACCGCGCCGCCCTTCCTGCTGAGTTCTGCGCTAAGAACCCCCCCCCCATGTACATCGCTCTCTACTACGTAGTCGCGCGCCTCCCTGACTCCCTTCGAGTCGTCAGGGACCACTTTCTCGCAGTCTGCCCCACCACGCTCACCGTCGACCTCCTCGAGAAGGCCCTCCTCGCAGCGGAGAAGAGCATAGTCGCTGTAGGTGCTTCTCGTGGTGACCCTCGCACCCCCATCTTTGAGGGGTGCTCTCCTTCCCCCTTGCTGCCCTCTGTTGCCTCTGCTGCTGCTGCCGACCTGCTTGGTCTTGAGTCGGTCGGCGCGGCGTCTGCCCCTAGTGGGAGACGTCGCTCCAGCAAGGGCAAGGGGGGCAAGGGCGCGGGTGGAGCTGGAGGGGGCGGTGGCGGTGGCGGCGGTGGCGGCGGAGGGAGTGGGGGTGGCGGCGGGACTAGTGGCGGGGGTGGTGGTGGTGGTGGCAGCAGCGGCGGAGACAGTAGTGGTGGTGCCAGCGGTGGTGGTGGAGGCAGCGGCGGAGGTGGAGGCGGCGGAGGTGGAGGCGGTGGAGGCGGCGGCGGAGGAGGCAGTGGTGGTGGAGGGGGTGGAGCTGGTCGGGGTGGTACCCAGCAGCGTAGCGGCGGTGGTGGTGGCCAGCGCTCGCAGCGGCAGCAGCAGCAGCGCTCTCGGGACATCCCTTCGCCTCAGCAGCTTCGTGAGTGGTACGCTGGGCGTCAGAGGGGTGGGGGTACTGGTCCCTGCACCTACGTTCTTCGTTCCGGCGACCGCGCGGGTGAGCAGTGTGGGGGTGCCCACGCCACCCAGCGCTGCTTTGGCCGCCTGACGGACGCCTGGCGTCAGCAGTTCCCTGGGGCTAGTGAGATCCCTCGCTGGGATGAGCTTCTCAGGGCTGGTGTAGCGATCTTTGATCTTGATTTTGATGCTATCCTTACTGCTATGTATGTTGTGGATTATAGTGAGGAGAATGAGGGTTACCGTTGTTTCCAGCCCGACCCGGGCATTGGTACTGCTGCGCTAGGTACTTGTGAGGCTGCTGCTCTAGGTGCCAGTGCGTCTGCGCTCTCAGATACTGGTGAGACTGCGCTCTCAGGTACTGCGTCGTCCTCGTCCTCCCTCACTTTCACACTTGACTCCGGAGCTTCTCGCTCCTTCTTTCGAGACCGCACTACCCTTACGCCGCTCGGCCGGCCGGTTGCAGTCTCCCTTGCTGACCCCTCTGGAGGTCCTGTCCTGTCTCACTTCTCCACTGTCCTCCCGTGTCCGGCTGCCCCTTCGGGCACCCTGTCGGGTCTGTACCT